GTATGTTCTTCTTTTTGTTTAAAGACTACTACCAAATACTTTGGAAACGCTGTATTTTCTTGAAAAAACTATCATGTTCTTCAAGTGAATGAGTCCTAGTTCTTTGGCATCGATGTTTTTGGAAACTAAATTTATAGTTTTGCAGAATCACTCTAAAGGCCTCCTGCATGCAGTATTATGAATCTTAAAATACATGAAAATGTCATATACCATACCTGTGTGATATCCTGTATGACTGAGTGTAAAATCATGTGCTGGCCCTGATCTGTAAGAGGGCTGAATAATACATATGGTTTTTACTATCTTCTCATAAAGCTTTCTTTATAAAAAAACTGTCATGAAGAAGCCTCCTCTATGGAAGGTACTGGGTCCATAAGTTTGAACCCAGAATGTTTTTGCTGTGAGGGTATGGCTAACCACTTTACCACCATACCGCATTGGCACTATTTGTTGTTATATTTTTGCAAACTGAATTTATAGTTCTGCTGCCTCACTCTGAACCTCTTCTGCGCTCAGTTTTATGAATCTTTAAAACCATGACGATGTCGTACAGCCTACCTTTGTGATATCCTGCATCAATGAATGGAAGCCCATGTAAACTTAGCCCTGGTTTGCAAGAGAGCTGAATAAAAAGTTTTCTCTCATCTTATAAGCGTTTCCCCCTTTTCGCTCAGAACAGAGTTGCACAGTTTCACTTGCAGCAGTAATCATTTACACTATCTTCTGGAATGTGAGTTAGTTACTCATTCAGAGAATGTTAAGGTTAACGAAAGTGCTTCAGATAGCAAGATTCAAGTGTATGGGAGTCACTTGTCTAGAGGTGAAGAACTTCATGAAGATTAAGTCTCTGCTTAATCCTGGACAAACCTGGACGCTTTTATATTGCTGAAATCAGCAATGTCTTTTCTTTCTGGATTGCTGTATTTTTAGCAGAGGATATAGGCCACAATCATCGTACTCCTGCGGGTGTACAGCTTACGAGTTTCTGTCCACCAAGTTATTTCAGTTAGTTTCCACGGAAACCAGACAGATGAGTCACTCAACATAAGTTCAGGCGGTTCAGTTTGGGAGGCAAACTTTGGATTTGCAGCTCCTCTCTCCTCATGCAGCAGCAGTGGAAAGTGAAAGCGGTGGCTGGCTGGTGGCACACTGCCCAGCTCTGTTCTCACTTCATCTGCCCTCTGCACCTCCTCCTCCTCTGCCTCCTTCACATCTCAGCTCTCCCACATGCCTGTTTTCCCTCTTGTCACTCTTTCTTCCAATCTTTCTCAAATCTTTTCCCACACTGCCTTGCATCTTTTTTTTTCTCTGCTCCTCACAGTTCTCAAGCTACACAAAATGATTTTCTGTGTTCCAAAGTTTTTTTAGGTGATTTTTATGTTTACTCATCTGATGCTGTGAGGCCAAAAATCTCATGTGTGAGTCAGTGTGCAGGGACTTTACTCACCAGTGTTTGGATGTGGATGGTAGATTATGATTATGAACACTTCCTGTGGGCAGTCTGTGTTTAGAAACAGCTTAGTCTGCAAATTAGTGAATGTACTCCAGCTCCAGTAAAGGCTTTGGTGGTTTTCGCAACATCTTGTGTCTCTTGCTCTCATTATTCATCCGTTATTCTCCCTTTTCTTTCATATTTCTTTATTTCCACCCACCAGATTTTTTTCCTCTATTCACGAGTGCGGTTTTTCAGTTTCAGGGCGGGACACATTGAATTGCATGCTCCAAATTTGTAAATCTCTCACTCAAAACCCTGCACTCACATTCAAATATAACTCTTCAAATATCTCTCTTCTTGTGCTCACTTTCCTTCTGTGTGTGCGTGAAATGTCTGCTCCCAGATTTCTTTCTTCCACTATATAATTTTTTAATTTTGTGTTGTCTTTCAAGTTTTCCCAAGACCACACTCTTGAATGAAGAGAGGAACTGATCCATATCAGACCTGCTCTCCTGTCTCCCACATGTGTCCCCCCCACACACACACACCCTTTCCTTCTATAAACCCCCCCCCTTTGCTCCCACAGGGATGAGGCCTGTTGTGTTGGGAGAGCTGCACAACAGACTGACTCACAGCTGACACACCACACCCAGCAGATGTGTGGGGTAAAGGGAAAGATCAAGAATGTGTTTATGTGCATGTGACACAGAGAGTGAGTCATGATTAATGGTTTATCTATGTTAAGCCAGTAACTAGTTTACTATAGAGGATGACAGATGAAACAATGGCTATTTACTTTGCGGGCTAGTGAGCCGATGACTGTCTCCTGCACGACTTGGAATGCGTTCTGAATGAATGAACTCCATCTAAAAAAGTTAATCTTAACTCATTATCTGATGATAACCCTTGATGGGCCTGTTCTCGTTAACGTCTGTGATCCTGTCAAGTGTAAAGGGAGGCAGATTGTGCTGGGTGTTGCAATGTGCTTGCAAGACTTTGGTATGTGTGGAGTTGATCTTTAACATGTAAAACATATCCAATTATTTTTTTGTGATTGCAACATTTATCCAGGACAAATTAATCTTCCTATCAGTTTGATATTTGACTTTCACTTTGTATGAAACTTTCTTTTGTTGCAGCTGCAGCAGTGAAAATTATGTTTTTATTGATATTCAAAAGATATGTACAAAACCTTTTTAATAGTTCTCAAATGTACATTGAAGGAGTTGTTGGTTGCTTTGAACAGTCTTCCTTTCCATACTCTCTCTAAAGTTATACCCTCCAACTGCACTGTTAATGATGATGGACAAATTCCAAAGTCCTCATTGTGTGCAAAAAATGCAAGCTGGGGTTTTTCAGCTGAAACTAATATGAGGCTTCAGGAGGCCTCTTTAAAAAAAAACATGTGAAACCAAAATATCTTATGTTGAAAGCAGATCATTGATGTAAAGTAAAGTCCTACAATATACATTAAGGACCTCCACTTTTCTAAAAGAAAAACATATTTTATTGGCCTGGTTAAGTTTGGTGTCATTATGAGTTGATCCTTAAGTCAAGGAAAATGAATAAGACATATTAATTGGTATTAGTAGTAGTCCCTATAAAGTGAAAACAGCATGGGGCATCAGCATCACTAACTTCTCATAAACCCACATTGTCAGGCTGAATGAATGTAGTGAAATGAAATGTGTTGTGATTATTAAGCTACATTTGGACTGCATCTGTCTCCAGCATTTTCTGCCTTTTAGTTCACGTGCTTGCAAAAGTTTGAGTAGACTTAAAAACTTACTTTCCATTAACTATGGTGCAAATCCCTCCTCAGTCTGTGTTACTGTTTTTGGGGAGTAACAGAGAAAGGTATTGTTCAGCAAAACCTCTTTGGGGCCCACATAGGAATTACAAGCATGCAATAAAGATAACCACTTCTCACATCTCTTCTTTTTAGCTTCTATATTTCCCCCCATCTGCCTCCCATTGTCAGTCCTGCCATTCCTCCATTCTTGTCTGGTTTGTCTGCCCACCATCTTTCAGCGAGTCTGGCTGCACGGGACAAGCTGTTTTGCAACAAAGGCTCAGAGTGTAACAGACGACGAGGCACAACATATTGCATTGGCAACAGACACAAATTAGGAAACCTTTGCTTGTTGTCAGCTTTAGTTGGAAAACTAGTGTTGATTGAAACCTGGCACAATGTCTGAAGACTGTTGAAATAAATATTTTCAGAAACTGTGACATATGAGCATATGAAAACAATCCAGTTGCCAAAATCTGTTGCAACCCACAACTGCTTTAATACAAACATGTATTAACAGCCTCTTACCATTAAGTTATGCAGTGATTCAACTGTGGCCAAAAAGAGGTTGGTGTATCACAGAGAAGACAGGAATTGGGCTGACTTGATTGTGAGTGTAAATATACAGAAAGCAGAGACTGGACTGGTTTGCTTGGACTCGGCATGGGAACATTGGTGTTCTGCCTATAATGGGACAAGGCTAAACAACTGCAGGTCAAAATGTGAATTTCTCAGAAGCAGAAAGAATTTCCCCAACTCACTACAGACTTGGGTGTGTGGGAGGATGATGGCAGGAGGTCAGACAGCCTCACTGTGCATATGCGTAACAGAGGAGTCGCCTTCTGTATACTATACGCCTGCAAGTTGGAGCTGTGTACTACCTACTTATTCCAATTTACCGTTCATGTTATCTGCTTCACACTTGACATGTGTGTTCTCAATGGCCCGAGGAAGTGTAGCGTCAAATTTGGTGTGATTTGGACACCCGTTATGTTAAATATTGATTTAATGAAATAAACAGGGGAGCAGCGTCTTCACAGTCAGTGGACCAAGTTGAACATTCTGGTTTTCTACATGCACACATAATCTACAGCAGTGGTCCGATTTATCATAGATGCACAACAGCTTCATTGCAAATAAAGCAGGTAGGGTGAAAAACAAAGTTTTCGAACTCACTCTACACATCCAGCACACAAACAATAAAAAGTCATAGTGTATTGTAGAACTGTTTGAGAAGGACTCACTAATGACAAGGAATAATTCATAAATAGCTTGCAAGTGTATCAAAGAAGATGTCATTCTTAAGATTAAAATACATGTGTATTTTGCAGAATAGGGAAAGGGGAGATAAAGGGGGATCGTTAGGATTTTAGCAATTCATCCGTCTTATAATTCCAGAAATCTCTCTCTGTATGTCTGTATGGCAGTCTGTCTGTATGTATGTATGCATGTTTGTATGTATGTTTGGGTAGAACAGGCACTGCACTAGTAATAAATAAAAGTTTTTCATCAACATTATTCAAAAGTCTGCAGCTAATATCCCACCTAAAGGAATATTTTGGACACAGACCCACTGTTTCTAGTCTTAATGCTAAGCAATGCTAAGTTAGCTGTAGCCTATATGGGCATGAAACCAGTATTCTTCTTCTTATCTAACCTTGGACAAGAAAGCCAATAAACATGTTTCCTCAAATACCAAACTACTCTCTTAAGGCAATCATGAATATGGAGCATATGGGCATATAAAAAAAAGTCACATATGTTGTACACCTCTGTTGGTCATTTTATTTAGTTACAGGGTTTTTTTTCAGTTTCAACATCTATTGCTGTTAACTGACAACTGACTCAGTGGATTGCACGTCCTTGTCCTCTGACACCAGTTTGCCATCCACCAGGGTCTGAGTGATTGTCACCACTTGGGTCTTGACCTTCTTCGTTTCCACTGCTTCCTCCAGTCTGAATAAAATAAAGAAAAGAGTCAATTTAGCTTAAGTTGGCTTGAAAAATGTCATAGTTTTTTACTAGAATGCTGAGTGGTTAAAATGCAACTGCAGATGACATAATTTTACTAACTATATTAATGTCAATTCATATTTTCATGAAGCCAATTTGAATCTAATTTCAAAGATTTGCTCTTGGCTGAAATAAAGCTTGTAAATCAGTCAGCAAATATAGAGCATTGATTGTTTAACCCTCTGCAATTTACATATTTTCACTGTTTCTTAGTTCCCTTCTCATACATACCTGAAGAGTGGCTCGCCTTCCAGCAGCCTTCTGTACTCAGCGATCTCGGCCTCCAGTTTCACTTTGATGTTGAGCAGGCTTTCGTATTCTCTTTTTTCATCCTGGATGTTCGTGCAGATCTTACTCAGCTCGTCTTTCAGCCTCTGGGTGACTTTGTTGTACCGCTCCATCCCCATGTTGTTACGCGTTTCAATGTCAAGAAGAGTGGCCTCCTGGGTTGCTTTCTGAAAAGAGGTGAAAAGCAGGCAAGTTTGAATTTGTGAATTGACTGATACCACACTGAGCTGGGCTAGTTAAGCAAAGCTGGGTCATTGGCCTCCTCAATTTTTTATTGTGATTCTCACAGCCAGTGGGAAACCTTCATTCTGTTAAAACAACTAACAGTTCCCAATGAGCATATCAGGATTCCATGAGAAAAGTTTCAACCAGTGGGATTTAATGAGAAACTGTATCCACTCGGAGTTGAAGTTACACTTCTTATGTGAATGGGAACAAAGGGTATTACCATATTAAGTGCAGACTGCAGTTCAATCTCCAGTGTCTGATATTTCCTCCTGATATCAGTAATTGTAGTCGTGGCCTCCTTCAGAGCTGATGTGTTCTCAGTCACTCTGACCTTTATCTCCTTCATCTGGATGCAAGAAAAAATACATAGAGTTTATAGAAGAGGTACTTTCCAAATTCCAGCTAGTCAGGTCCAAATACTGTATACACTGACAGATTACCTGAGATTCATGCCACGCTTTGACTTCCTCTTGGCTCTTCAGTGCTATACTCTCGTACTTAGCCCTCATCTCCTCCATGACCTTGGCCATGTCTTGTCCTTTAGGAGCATCAACATCGACGTTGATGGCAAATTGGCTTTTCTGGGCAAGCAATTCTTCAATTTCCTGTCAAGAAGGAAATAGTCAGGGAGTGATTTCCAGAACAGTATGAGTGAGGTTATCCTGTGTAAAGGGGTCAAGGAACAAAGAGATTTCAATTACGTTGAGTGTTTAATACTATTTTCAGATGCTTCTGGCATTATAAAATAGGTTTTTCCCTTCAACTTGGATTAAACATCATCTAGCTATCATCATGTAAATAGTTCCAGCCTAATGTTCCTCACAGTCTGATGATTCTTCTCCAGGTAGATCTTCTCTTCTCTCAGACTCTCAATGTCGCTCTCCAGGTGTAGACAAGTGACATTGGTGTCGTCCAGAATCTTCCTCAGTCTGGTAATATCAGCCTCCACTGTTAGATGCATGGACAGCTCATACTCCATCCTGAAGACACATACCATGTATCAGACCTGCTCACGCTGGATGGTTGGAGCCAGTTTTGCCTTGCATACAAATGCATACAGATCACTTACTTGGTTCTGAAGTCATCTGAGGCCATGTGTGCATTGTCAAAAGAGATGGCGAGATGTGTGTTTCCCTTTATCCTTTCTAATATCTGGAATAAAGGACAATGTTTTATATGATTTTCAATCTGTGAAAGACAAACAGACTGACGAGACTATTCCATTTTCCCACAAGCATTTTGATGGACAGAAAACTAATTTCCACCTTGACAAATGGTACCAGTAAAAGATTGATACAATCATTGACATTAATGGTTAGTCACCACTGATATTCCCTTTGCATGGAGACATTAGGAAACACAAGTGGACCCAGATTTACTAATCTGCAGCTCTTAATGCATTATTTTTGCAATTTTATTTTTAAGTAAACTAAACAATTCAGATTTAGTAGAATGAAGACTGACTAATCCATTCATTGACTCACCTTGGCTCTCAGTTCTTCAATAATGGGTTTGAACTTGGTGTAGTCCTTCCCCCCCAAGAGGCCTCTGTCTTCAATGGCCTTCCTGATTTTGATCTCCAGCTTGCTGTTGGCTTGCTCCAGATTCTTGACTTTATCCATGTAGATGGCCAGCCGGTCGTTCAGGTGCTGCATGGTTGACTTCTCATTTGCCATGGCCATGTCTGCGGCATTGAATGCATAGAACAAGGGGCGGTAGTCATACCCACTGCCCAAGCTTCCAACCCGCGAGCCGTAGGTGGCGGTGGAGATCTTGGTCCCACGTCCGCCTGCACCTCCGATGACACTGTGAGCATACATTTGATAAGGTGGGGTAACAGATGCGGAATGGCCTTCAAAAGTGTGAACAGTCTGGCGCTTAATCTGTTGCTCCATTGCTGAAAAGACTGTGCTGATCGATCAGGGGGCGATGAGGTGCGTCCTGGCAAAGAGGAGTTTGGCAGCTGTGAGTAAAAGTCAGAGCATAGGGTCCTCTATATATATCCCTCTGAAAAGCAATATTTTCTTCTGCCACACCTCTCCTATCTATATTACCTTCTACTTCTATCCTTCTTGCGTAGACTTTGTCCCTCCAACATCCACTGAGGAGCTATCGCTTTCATAATGATTGTGAGTGTATGATAACTGTAACTGATGAGTTATCACTTTCATAATGATTGTGAGTGTATGATAACTGTGATGCCATAGAAATACTTTATTTTTCAAAAGCTATTCTGTCATACTGAATGTAGCAGAAGAGGATTTAATGCATTCATGTCTCATCGAAGCAGCTCTATATTATTTCTGTTTCTTAAAGAGATACTGCACACTAAAATGTGTTTTTGATATTTTTTTGTGTTGTTCTTTCTTTCAAGTTTTACCTCTTGGAACCAACAGGTTTGGGGCTGAAAGCCATGGCAGCTTCAGGAAGCCAGAAAAGTGAATTCTTTCAAATGAAGGAGTATAGAATTACTCCAGCCTAATCCTTAAAGAGAAGAAAATTGAATGGGGGTTACACATTGGGGGCGTGTTATATCAGATACTTGCAATTCCGGAACCTGTAACATGCCAAAACATATTACAGTGTTTTCTAATACTACGAGGAAGGATTTTACAACTCTGGTGTCACATCATGGCAAAGATCGTTTTAGCCTCCATCTCAGTTGAGACATAAACAGTAGAATTATCCTGTTCAGGTTACAATATCTACCAGGAATGTGCACTGTAATTGCTTGGTCTACCAAGTGTGCTGCCACAGGCATTTTGTTTGCCAGGGCCCCCTGTGTTGGCACTTTGGACTCCCTGAATGGAATGAGGTGGGTGTTTTTCCCCACAGAGAGGTATGAACATAGCTTTAAAGTATTAAATGTACATAAAGTGATTGTATTGGTAGCAGAGCTCAAGTAAAGGTGAAGAGGAAGAGTAGCAGCAGAGTTGGTAAGCAATGGTTTAAGAATGAAAACGATAAAAACTTTACTCTGAAGCTTAAAGGGATATTTCACCCAAAAATGAAAATTCACTCATTATCTATTCACCAATATGCCTATGCAGGGGTGGGTGAAGTGAAAGCCCCAACATTCAAATTCAATTTGCAACGGCGTCATTCACACTATGTTAATAACTAAATTGTCCTCTGATATCCTCCTCTAGAGCCCTGTTTGTGTGTAGATCACACTACACCAACCCTCCATCTGCATTTTTTTCATTTTTGGGTGAACTATCCCTTTAGTTCACTCAGGGTAGGTGTTCCTGTTCAACAACAGTCGAGAGTTCAGTGCGTATCTCAGATCTAAATCTAATGATAAGGCTCTATTGTTATCTGCTTTCAGTATGAGTCCTTTCACTTGCTTCATTCATTCATTATGTTCCTCATGTTTTATAGTAGAACCTGAAGTGTATGACATGTTTGAGAAACGCATTTCTTAGTTTCAAAGAAAACACAAAAACAACAACAACACGAGGAATACAATTCTGAAACGTTCTTTATTTAAATGTCTGAACATCGCAGCACAACAGGCAGATGTAACTGGACAGAGAGAAAACCAAAGATGATGAAATATTAAAATAATGTTTTGCACTTCATTGGACTTTTTCCTTTGGAACATTTAGTGACTTGAATCAGTTTGTATCTGACAAATCTCAGGGTTCTCTAATTATAAATTCTGAACATCTACTGGTCAGGACACAAACACATAAATAACATCATGATGAAATAAATAAAAGATGATTTAGGTTTCCTCTCATCCAGTTTTTTAATCAGTCTGTGGAAGAGCTGCTAACCCAGGAAGTTAAACCAATTGCAGTGGAGAGTATTAGTGATGAATATCTAAGAAGTCAGGAGAACTGGAAATAACATTTTGGGGGCGATCGTATGTTAGTGTCATGATGCAGTGAAAGTGATTGTTGTATGTTTGCTTCAGGTCTTCAAAGGTTCTTGGTCTCTGTGCTGGAGGAAACCACCTTTCCATCCACCAGGGTCTGTGTGACAGTCATCACTTTGGTCTTCACTGTTTTCTGGTCTTCCAGAGCGTCCTGAAGACTGAACAAAACCATTGAGAAAAAAAATTAACCATTGACCAATAGAGTTAATTAAAAAAGAATAAAATAGAATAATTAAATCTACGCACACGAAGTCTTCACCGTCCAGCAGCCGTCTGTATGTTGCGATCTCGGCCTCCAGCTTCATCTTCATGTTGAGTAGGGCCTCGTACTCCTGCGTCTGCAGCTGGATGTTGTTACGCAACTGCGTGAGCTCCGACTCCAGACCCAGGAGGATGGTGTTGAGAGACTCGATCTCCATGTTGTAACGCATCTCCGTGTCCCTGAGTGTCCCCTCCAGAGACCCTTTCTGTGAGCGCGAGGTGAAAGGACAGAATGGGTTAAAGCTGAACAGGGAACCTGGCCGGGCCGAGGACAGCTCCATAGCGACGGGTCACCAGAGTGTGAAGCTTGTGTCAACAAAGTAAATGCAAGAGACTTGAAATGAGAGTGCTGAGTCGGTCATTGCAGGGAGTTAAGATAGGTCTGTTTTGAGGTAAATGAAGTGTGTGCTGACAGAGGGACTTCTCACCAGGCTCCTCTGTGACTCCAGCTCGATCTCCATGGTTTGTAACTGTCGCCGCAGGTCGTTCACCTCTGTATGGGCACCCTTCAGGGCCTCTGTGTTCTGGGTAACCTGGGTCTGCACTTCTGTAATCTGAAATAATGATTGCAATTTAAAGATGAGTTGATTTAAGGCCTTGTGCTCGAGAGATTGTTCCTGTTAGTGGGTGATAGTTTCTCTTTCATCGCTCACCTGAGATTCATGCCACACTTTCAATTCCTCCTGGTTCTTCAGTGCCATCTTCTCGTATTTGGCCCTAATTTCTGCCATGAGCTGAGCCAGGTCATGTCCCTTAGGAGCATCAACATCTACATGGACTCCTGACTGGGCAATCTGGTTACGAAGCTCCATTACTTCCTGAAGAAACAACAATGGATAGAGGAGTCAATAAGCAAAATCACAAGCTTTAAAAGATGTTCTGAATCGTGTTTTCACATCTACATGAAAAGTAGTGCTGATTCTAATGCGCTTAAACAGGGCAAATAATTTTTGTGATTTCAAATAGACAGAATGCTCCTTTTATCATCGAAGACTTGAACTGTGACCCGGCAGGGACTCCGAGCCACTTCCGAGCATAATCACATGTTACGGTCAGGTAAATATACAGGGGGTCCCTGGTAGCGTGCCTCTGGGGCCTTAAACACTTGATTGAATATTCCCTTTGGTAAACAAATGGCTGTGTTTTGGTTTATGTGCGTAAATGACAGTAATTTGGGGTCTTTGGGGTTTTCTTCATTGCCAAATGTGGATGTGAATCATTTTTTACGACGAGGCTTCCCACAGTATTCTCATAAAGATATTTCAGATTTCTTGAAACCTCCCTTCCCACTGAGGATTCTTTTTTCAAACTTGTTTTGAAGAAAGCCCCGTCAGATGTGTCGGGTGTGTGCAGTCGTGGCATTGTGTGTAACACACAGTGCAAATGTAACTTAAACACACATGGTGGTTATGCTTGAAGGGATTACTGAGATGTGCCGCAAGGCAAATATTAATCCAGCTCCTCCTAATGTGTGACTGTTTGCTTAAACAATGTCTAGAGGTGTTTTAAAAGTGCTTGTCATTTACAGCTCTAGAAAAGTCAACACAGTCGTAGAAGGGAAAACAACCTTTGACTAATATTTGACTTAAAAAGTCAGTCTGATTTAAAAAAAAAAAGAGGATATCGCTGAATATATTACCATAAGGCAATTCAAATGTAATTTGTAATTTAAACTTTATATCATAACATATATTACTAAGATTTTTTTATCTGTAATATATTTTGGTCATAATATGTTTATGGCTGTTAAAAGCTATTTTGTAAATAGGGTCCTATATCGGAGCAAAATTGATGCTAAAGTTTGGATTCTATCATTATGAGGATTTGCGAATTTTAATTTTTGGATAACTCAAAGTAGGAGGGGCTAATTTGAAAGTAAGAATGTGATGTCACTGTGCACCCATTAGAAGTTAACTACATGTGGATCAAATTGTAATGGTGGTTGTGGGGTCACTTGCTAATGAAATCAGATGAAACCACACCCATTCAGTCCCGATGAAGCAGATTACCTTACATGTGATGAACAATAAATAAAAAACGATGATGTTTTTGCCAAACGTAAACTCACTGAATAATGAAAAATGAATCTCACAGAGTAATACTTTTGCCGTTAAACTCACATTTTCGTGGTTCTTCTTGAGGTGGATGAGCTCCTCCTTCAGGGTTTCGATCTCGCTCTCCAGATTCATGCGGCTCATGTTGGTGTCGTCGATGAGCTTCCTCAAACCGACAATATCGGCCTCCACCGACTGACGGATAGCCAGCTCGGACTCATATCTAAAAAGCACAGGGCAGGGAAGTGAGGATAACGGGAGAGCCTAACACAGCTGCTGACCCAAAGACTGAGGCAACTTTGAGATGTGTTACAACCCTATTAGAAGGTTAATTAACTGATAATACAACATATACTTTCCAACAATCTTTCTTCTCACTTCTCACAGTATATATGGTCATATTGTTTAGATTGCAAGCAAAATTCTACACTCTTGCAGCCACCTGTGTTTGCTGGGACATGTTATTTATGATAACACCCCCACAGGCTAATGCGAAAATGATCCTTTATGACTACACAACAAATGCCTGTCTCTTTACACTTTGTTCGACAGGGTGTGCCCACAGCTGTCTGACATGGTGTTTGACGGACTCAGCGGTGCGGGCCTTACTTCACTCTGAAGTCATCTGCTGCGAGGCGAGCATTGTCGATGTTGAGAACCAGGCGGGCATTGTCGGTAGTGGCATCAAACACCTAGAACAGGACCAAAGATAGGACTTATTTGGATGTCAAACTGGAGTCAGGGACATGCACAAAACA